TAACTTTCCTAACTCCTAGGTACCGGTGGCTTCAACCCAAGCCTAACAGCCACGGCTCCCGGCGGGTACCTTACGCGTTCAAACCTACCACTGATCTTAGCTTAGTGGGATCGTGCGCCGGGGGTACACAGTCCCTTAGTAGGGGCCTGCTCAGATCCACACAGGTCTCCCCCGCACGTCACGACCACTATGCAGGAATAAGCAGCCAACCCACCTCGGCGTAGGCCCTCCCGGCTTACTCAAGCCACAGCTTACGCTGAGCGAGCTGCCGAATGCGCTGGTAGCTCGGCCGGGTCACTGAGTAGTAGGGTGGTGTTGCACTGGCCACAATGTACTGAAAGTAGCCTCAAGGTACTGTAGTAATCCTCACAATACTGCTTCTTGGCCTTGAAGTTCTGCTGCTGGTTGTCCGGTACTTGTATTGGTCCCAAAATCCGCTGGGTAGCCTCACAGGACCAGCGCCTTGCTTGCAGCTCCACTCCCGATGTACTGGGCCCACCACCGGCCTCCCAATGTACTGGCCCGCCTTGCCACCGCCGAGATTGTCACGTGCCTGGCTGCTTCCCGCCGGATTGTCACATGACAATCCGCCTCGCCGCTGATTGGCCGCTCTCACGTAGCGCCTTGCTCCTGGCGCTCTCTCTGGCCGCGCCTCCGCGCTCCACGCCGCGCGACCGCCTCCCCCGGCCACGCGAAGGTGCAGACCGGCCGGCGCCGTCCTCCACGCGCGCGGGGCCTCGCCAATCCAGCCGTGATTCGCGCAGAAATCGGTCGATTGGCCGCCTCACTCGTCCAAGGTCGAGGGGTCGAATTCTGGCCGCCCTGCTCGCGCTTCCCGCCGCGCGACCACGTTGATTGGCCGCGCAAGGGTGAGCAATCGCCGGCGCCGCCTTCCACCACCCTCAATCCTCGCAATCGATCCGCGATTCACCCGGAATTCCGACGGGTGGCCGCCTGGCTCGTCCAAGGTTGGCGGGTGCGAAATGTTGGAGCAATTTCGCCCCGCCGGTTCACTCTTATGCCGCCGCGTCCCTTGGGCTCCCTTCCCCCAGACCTTGCCGGCTCCGAAACCACTGTTGTGGTGTGGTTTCCGGCCGGGACGGACGCCCCTCGTTGTCGCCCAATCGCCGCGGATCTTGCGGCTTCAAGCCGGGTACCCCGTGGCCCCACGCTGGAATCGGCATGTTCGATCGGGGCGCTCGCTCCTCCGGTCTCGCGTGGTGGGCCCTGGTCGCTGAACCGTTGGCCTGGGTGCTGCTAGGGACGGATGGACCGGCGGCATGGTGTGCACTCGTGCGCAGTGGTTAGACGCGCAAGGAAACAAGTGCAGAACGGTTTACAGGGTCCCGCGGACTGCGCAGGACTCAAAACACACTGCACAGGCTGACTCACCCTATATTGGGTGAGCCAGGACACCATACAATAATGTATTGCCATTGTAACGTACAGACCGTCCACCAGTGTACCCAACAAACCAACAATCCTATTGTTTTTCCCAACAGATGACCAGCCATGTCCAAAATTGTGACCTCAAGGTCCATGGCTGTAACTCCCCTATACACGCACACAACAAAGTGTGGTGGCGTGGTAGCGGTTTTGTGTGCTTGACGGTGGTGGGCCCAAGGACCGTCACGAGTGGGGTGCGCTCGGAGGCAGAGGCGGCCAGAGAAGAGCGCGATTACAAGCATGGTTCACACCTAAATGCCACTCCCACGCTGGGAGCCTCCCAGCAGCTCATAATTATCCCATTATCGGCATTTAGGTGTGCCAGTACTCAAAAAGTTCGCCGCCCTTAAGTACTGAAACCGTTCGGGCCTCTTCTTGATAATATCCAAGTCCATCATAACCTCAGGCTCATTTAAGCCCCTCATCATAACGAGGGTGCATCACAGTATATTGTGCAGATCGTGTTCCCCATACATTAGGGACCCAACCACGACCTCACACAAAGGCTTATTGCATTCCCTTATCCGAAACTGGCATTATCGATGCCAAGGGGTGACCTCCCTTTGGTGAGGTTGGCAAGGGAGGTTGCTACCTTGAAGGGGCGCCTCACCTTTTGGTGGGAGGCTGAGCGTGCATGAAGGGAGTGTCATAATGTAGTACATTAAATGTACTAGTGCCTTGCCTAGGACTTGTTCGATGTGCCTGCAAAATGACTCATTTTACATATCATTTTGCAACGAAAGGCCATAAAGAATGAGCAAAAAAAGTTCAGAATGACTCTTAGAATACAGTGCCCACCATACCAAAAGAGAAAAGCAAAAGAAGAAAGAAAGAGCAACAAAATACCCAAAATGTTGGGGAAATACTGCCAAAATTTGCCCAGATTATTGTTAATCGTTGAGGGGTACGATGAAAGAATTTGGGATGTGAAAGCTTGCGCCATGTAGATGCCATGCCACCCCGCTGCCCTCCTGTGCGTTTTGTGGCTTCCAAGAATTTTGTGACCCCATGCGCAGCTCTGGGACTTGCAGTTTGAGACTTGCTGCGGTTTTGCGAGGTTTACAGTTTGGTTTCGCACTCTAGAACATGTGAAGTCGCACTCCAAATGGACTGAGAGGGGGCACGTCATGTGTTGTGAGTTTTTGGACCAAGAGAGTGTGCATGGGAGGTTGAAACTCTGGTGGAACTTCGATTTTACATGGCGGTCTGTTGAGCAGTTTTAGGGGGAGTTTTTGGCTGATTTCCTTGACAGTTTCCGAACGTTTTCATGTGGAACCACTGTGGGAGCGAGTGAGGCAGGTTGTTGCCTATCGCTGGCTATTTAAAAGGGCTGCCCACGCTAGGGGGCAGATTGAACCCCGTGTTGCAAGTCCTGGCAGTTGTAACTGTGCGATTTGTAGCGTATTGTCTCCAGTGGCCCGCTGGTCGGTCTGAGTTGCTAAGAGGTTACAACCGGCCCTCTCGCATGGCGGATCCTGGCATCTGAATGGCCACTTCGCTGATGGCCGGCGGGATCGACCACCAATTCGATTCGGTGTCATAGCAGGCGACTGAGGCGGGCACGGCAATGACTAATCGCTGTGTGGGGGGAGGTCTCGGGTGGGCATGTGAACTGGCACTCCCAGGTTTGCTTGCTGGGCTGCACCGTGAGTCATGGCGAAGTGCTGGGTCGAATCTGGCTTCGGTGTGCATGGAATCCCTGTGGGCGTGTGCCAATCATGTTGGGGCGTTGTGGGGCCCATGGTGGGGAGATGACGGCTCGCATGTCGGCGGCGGGTGGAGTACACGCGTGCGATCTTGTTCCATTGCAGAAGTGATGTGTGCCAATGGGGATCGTGAAGCTGGTGGCCAGCGTGGCACGTACGAGGCCTAGGCCAGGAATCACGTAACCATGGCAGGGGGCGGGTTGGTTGAGGCTGGTGTGCCCTGGTGTGAAGGAACGATCGTACCGGTACCCCACGCGACCGCTACTGCCTTTCGTGAGGTGCAGGCGGTGGGGATCGCCGAGGGGGGAGGTGACCGGCACTGTTTTGCCGTCACAATGTACTAATGTGGGTACGACGGTGAATGCAACATCCCCTTAAGTACTAGAACATAGCCAAGGGGTGCGGGGAGTACTTCGTGACACGTCCGCGGTGCAGTGGGGCGAGCACGTGGCGTACTACCAACTACCTAAAGTACTAGAAGTGGTGAAAAGCATTCGAAGGCAGTGGGTGGCATCCAAGGAAGTTGTAGAGAAGCTTCCTTTTAATTTCTAGACATCATACTTGTTCATCTACCCATTTTTGCGAACATGGTGCGACAAACTTGTTTTGACTTACCTCCTGGCCCAATTTGTGGTTTAGTTCAGTACCAAGTGGCTTGTGCTCTTATAGCTAGAACCTTTGTTGGTTGTTTCTTGTCTCTTAGCGCCCTTACCTTTGACCTCTGGATTGGCTCTCTCCTTTGAAGAGAGAGAACACATGGCCACGACTCAGCCGTTGCATAATCAGCAGTCACACGTAATGGCCATGCAACTCTCACAAAATGGCCAGGCTTCAACTATTGATGTTCCAATTGCATTGGAACTGGCTGCACTTGCTTGAAGAAAACGAGTGCTTGCTTGAACATTGTTTGCAATTTTGGTGGCAAGTTCGAACTTGCGACAAGGGAATTCCCTCATCAATTATCCCTCTAAAAATAAGTGAGCTATGCATTCCAACAATTGTAGTTGTTTCATACAACTTGCATGGGTACACAACTCCCCAGTGCTCCCAAACTCCCTAGAGATCGATCGCCCCATTCCAACTCGCCAAAGAGAGTGCCAACCGATTGACCCTTTGACTGTATCATTGGCAACACCCACATTTGAAGTTTGCCTTGGTCGGCACACAGCGTTTGAAAACAAGAAAGATCACATAGAGGTGGCAGTGTACAAGGCTTGCCCCAGTCTCCCAACCATGCAGATTTGAGCCGAACAGGGGGGCAGCGACTGGGCGCTCATTGAAATTTCTGTTTTCAGTCTGGCGTGTTGCGTTGCAACCTGATGTGACATGACCTGAGGACCATGCCCAAACACTCCAAAGACGTTGTATCTGTCTCAAGCCGGTGAGAATTCATGGAGGCTAATCGCAGAAGTTTATGTTGGGCACCATGAAAAGGCTCCTCATCTGCCATAGAGGCAGTGCTTCCATGTCCAATGGAGTGCCAGTTGTGTGGCATGCAACACTAATATTGTACGCAAGGTCTTGTAAGGATCTAGAATCCATGTCTCTCAACAAGCCAAATGTTCTTTCTTAAGCGTGTAAACAGAGACTACCCTGCATTCACCCCCCCACTGCTGGTCTCATATTGCAATGATGAGACACGTTGATTCGTTCCTGCATCTCAAGCAACAAGTTGGCAGCTGCAAGGTTGCGCAGAGGTGCAAAATCTGCAATAACCAATGTTTGCTAACCACAATTTAAACATAACAGACAACAACATTGCATTTCTCAACCGTTCGTCTGGCACAGTCATATTTCCTGCCTGCCTGGACGGTAGCCTCTACACATTTGATCCCACATGCTGCATGCTCACTCCATGCTGGCAATACGCTTCTTCATCCCCTCCAGCTCCTCATACAGATCTGACCGTTGTGACTCTGCCACCTCTACACGTGCCACCTCATTCTCAAAAGCCACTTCAAGTGGCTCCACCATTTGCAGTACGCGAGAATTACAGTCTTCTAAACTTACAATCAGTTCCCCTTGTAGCCGGCGGTTGAGTTCCTTGCCAAGTTCTGCGCCCAGTCTACGTACCCTGCCCTTGACATCTCCGCGCTGAAGCGGCAGGTTCAGGACAGCCACATAACCCAGCAGCAGGCTGAGGGCAATTGACAGGAAGTCAGAAGAAGTGTCCGGCAGCAGAATTGTCAGTGCAAAGCCAATCCCAACAGCTGCCACTGCCGTGCCTGCTGTGCCACTCACTGCGTTCCGAAGTTGAACATCCATCAGTCTTTCCGCAAGCTCAACCCCCACATCTGGCGTTTCCATGATGGCATCCACAACTGCAGCAATCGACTCTTCGCTTATCTCTGCATCTGCTTCGACTTGAGCTTCGCTGGCAGTTGCAGGCTGACCTTCAAGGATCTTGCTGGCAGTCGATGGCTTTGTGGCTGTGAGGTCATCTAAACTCAAACCCACCCGACCAGCACATTGTGCAGCAAACGAACGATAGTTCTCCACCTTTGAAATGCGCAAAACACAATTTTAGATCTGGAAGCACAGGTTGCCATTCACAAAGCAGTGAAAGCAAACGCCATGCTGATCTGACAACAGTGTCCTGAAGCACAAGTTACACATATCAGTCGCTGCCACAGCAAGTAACACACAACAGAAAACCCAGACTCAGCTTTGGGGCATTTTCCAATCACCTGATTTTCGCAGTTTCGGGAAAGCCATGCTCCATGGTTGGCCATGACCTGCTGCACATCATCAACAGCAGTTCCCATGACAGCTGTACCAAATCCCTGCAGGAGTGAAGAAGCCTGCGACGAGCTTTCCTTCCCTTTCGACAAATATGTTTGCAAACTGGTCAGATTTGACAGCTTCAGCGCGTCATCCACAAAGTCCTCAGCCCTGGCAACCACCTATCAAAGTACAACCAGTGGTCCTGCAGTCAGACAATGATCAGCTGATCACTCCCAGATTGTGGTCGCTGTGGTTGTAGAAAGGCACCATACACAGCACGGTTGGGCAGTGGACTGTCCCGACTGTCCAGACAAGGGAAACACAATCAAAAGGGATTCCACCACTGGAAATAACCATGTGTACTACAAACAACGGAAGAGATTGTCTCCACGACGATCAAAGGCAACGGGAGCTCCGCACACTGCCACAGTGGGCCTCCACATACAAAGAGAACTGTGGTGCACAGGAGCAAGGTCCATCCCTGTACTGTTGATCGCGGATTCACTGCCCACCGCATCAAGTGCCTTCTTGATATTGATCCTCTGGATCTCGCCATCCTTCTTCATCTCAGAGAGGAAGTTGTCCATATACCCCCGCACTGCAGACACAGCCTTCAAGTCATTCTCTGCCTCTGCACGCTCATTCTCCAGCTGCTGCCTGCAGGCGTCGAGTAGGGCATCTGCAACAAACACTGGTGTTTGCAACTTCAAGCGCACACTCTCTGTCGAGGCTGCACCTGACTCTCCTGTGAAAAATTCTGTGATGAAGTCCTCAAGTTTGGGAAAGCCACTGGTTTTCCATTCTGGGTCCTGCTGAAGGGTATTGTCATTCGTGTTCCTGAAGGACACACCCAGGTACTCATTTTTTCCACGCCAAGATTAATCAGGCTGCAAGGTGATGCTGATGTGTGTTGCAGCAAAACTTCGTGCAGAACAAACTGCTTTCAGGCCGCAACTGAGATGTGTCTCAATAGCAGTCCCGATGCAACAATGACAAGTGGCGCATGTCTTGGTCTGTCACGCTCAAGCACCGCAACTTCGTCGTTGGTGCAGTCCTCCAGTAACAAGGCAACAGCAATTTAGCCCATGCGCTAAGCACTGGGGAGACCACGGTATCTCAAATCCACATCATTGAAGCTGCACATGAAAAACTGCTATTGCTCCCAGGACTGCCATGCAATAGGCAACGTAGCATTTAGGGAGAAGCAGAAAGCTGTGCAAAAATTTGGTGCTGGCACAACTGGAATTCAAGCTATTCTGCGGTTGAAAGTTCAGCGCAACACCCGCTCCTCACCTGAACAATCCGCCGAAAGCACTGTTTCCTTGTTTTTTCTTTGCCCGCAGAGCCTTCTTGGCACTGACTGGCCACACTGACACCTCACTTAAACTGAGCAGCTTTCGTGCGTTCTCGCCAACAAATCTCTGCACTTCATCCACCTCCCGTCCTGAGGATAGGATGTCAACCTTGTTGACCACAAAGACCACTTTCTTGCCCCATTTCCGTATATATTGAAGAAACTTCACCTCGCTCTCTGTGAAAGGCCTGTCAGCTGACAGCACAAACAGGACCATATCTGCGCGTGGCACATACTCCTCTGTCAACCGCTGCTGGCGTTCTAAGATGACGTTTGTGCCTGGTGTGTCCACCACATTCACGACCTGCAGAAACCAACCACAGGAATCAGAATGGAAGGAAAGCAGATTGTGGTCAAGTTGTGGGAGGATGTGCGCTAATACCAGAATTCGACTATTTTTCGTTTGAAGATTTTCCTATGCACGGCAGCAAGTAAAACCCTGAAAGCCAACTGTTGAACGGTCACTGAAAGAAAATGTTGAGGGATACCAAACCTGCAGAGCCACACACAGGAAACATGCGACTCAAACTAGCGTAGTTGAACTATCTTTTCCAGTCCACAGCAGCAACACAAGGCAACTGGGAATGGTGCCGGAATGAATTGTACAATAGGGGCAGAAGTTGACCAGAAAAAGTGATGACCTGCAGGAGGGGCGCTGGTAGGTAGCGGAGCACACAGCCATCTGAATCTCGCTCCTTTTGTTGCTGTTTCTGCTCCCTGTACCTCAGAATGCTGATCTCATTTGTTGTTGGGAGGATGCCTTGCTCAAGAAAACTGTCTCCAAGAAGCGCATTAATGACAGCCGACTTGCCAGAGTTATACTCCCCTGAATGCAATATACACATCGCCATCAACAACACACATTGGCTCCAACGAGTGGCTGCCCTGTCATCGGTCTACCCAAAAAAAGTTTTGCATGTTGTTCCCTGGTATTTTGTGACTTCAAGGAGTCAACTGATCTCCAAGTGCGGTACAGCTGTGCTAAAACAAACACAATGCAGGCCAGGATGGGAGCGGCCACCCACCACAATACCACAGCAGTAGGTGCTGCGTAGCTGTTCAGCCTTGTCTGAAAAGGGCAAACCAATATTTTTGGAATGAACAAGGCCCATGTACATACATATGCTAAGAACAAAGATCCAGTGCTCCACCAACATATCCTCACTGGTACCAACTTCAAGGAGCAGTTTTTCATTACGACTGTCCAACATCTCACCCAATGAAGGGGCCCATCGGCAAGCATCCAAGGGATTCATTATGGTGGTTTAAAGGCCAAAAGCACCAAAGAACAGGTCTTGTTGTCCATTGACAGGTGCAGATCTGTTCTGTAAGCTGCACGAACAACCTCACTTCGATGGCAAAACGATGGTACAGTGGCCTGGCACTGATACATCAGATTGGCTCCTATACCTGCCATTGAACCCATTGTCGAAATTATGTGGTGAGCTGCAACAGTTAATTCACTGATGGTGGACACGCGTCTCCACAAGGGGAGAAAGAAGGAAGCGGGCAACCCTGAGCATAGCCCTAACAACACCAATACAATACAAACAAGTGCGCACACTGAGGACCCTTCAGGAGGAGGGCAACATTTTCTTTGCTCTGTGTTCCCATGCAAGTTGCATGGGAAACAGCATACAACTGAAATGAAATTGTCGCAAGTGCCAGTTGCCTGTACAACACCGGAATCCCTCCAACCACTATTATGTTGGAAGGACGCCTGCTTGCTGCTGCACCATTCTGTACAACCCTTGGACAAATGTCATGCTGTGCAACAACACCTGTGCTTCTGGATGCCAGAACTGACAGTCACTCTCATCCTAGCACACAAATATCTGGAGTGGGGATTAACAGCACATTTCACTATTTGCACTTCTGAAATGCAGATGTGGGCGTTCCTTTGTACCTAAATGCGCACAAACGTCCACAGATGTATATTTTGGTACAGTCTCATGTGGGACACGCCCCCTGTCACTTGTCAAACACTTTCCAAAAGCTATACGACCCTTACTCGTCTATTCCAGTGGTTATTGCTTTGTTGTGGATAATACTCCTTTCTGAGTGAAGGGACAAGACCCATGCTCTGGAATGAACCTGTGCAATGAATGAACTATGACCATCAATGCAGCAATGGTTTGAGGGCAGCACTTCGCATGTTTGACAGCCAGTGCCGATGGACAGATGCCTCCTCTTTCCCACAACTTACCTACCACTACAATGAGGAACAAGTCGTCCAGCTGCTTCTGCGCCCCCTTTAGTAGCGAGACTTCTTTGAGCTCAGGCATCAGCACCTCCAGGAACTCAGCCGTCCGAGAAAGAAGCACTTTCTCCTCTGCCACAAGTTCCTTGCGAGTGTCATCCAACCCGATGGTTGGCTCTGCCGCTGGCGTCGGTGTTGTCGTGCCACTGTCAGATGGCTTCGTTTTGCCCTGTGCTCCCTCCAACCTTCGCAACACATTTGCCATCAATTTCCCAAATCGGGCCAAGAGCTTTCCTGTTGGCACCACATCTCAAGCTCACAGAATCTCAAACCGTCATTACGCACAGTTCTGTTTTGAGGTACAGTCAGGCCCGTACTGCCTCAAGGGCAGAGCATATTTCTAGGAAACGCTTCAACAATTATAGCTGCACACGCTGTACAGCACTTGAATGGACACACCTCTTGCAGGTTCCCGATTGCATCAAGGGGGGTTGGGGGGGTGGGGGTGGGGTCAGCGCATGGGGTTGTGTTGTAACTTGTTTGCCAGGTAACGTGCATTATTGTCTGCGCTGGAGTCTTCAATCAAGTGCAGCACAATACGCTGAATCAAACTGACACTCTTCTCCAGACCCTAAATGCTAGTCCACAGCTTGCCAATGGATCGGTACAGAGACAAATGCCCAATACACCCATTTCCTCCCATGTACTTTTGCTTCCAGGACACCTTGCTACACACCACCACAACCATCTCAACAAGGTCCACCACACACTCCTCCACAATCATATTGTTTGGGTGTCAGGAGTTGTAATTTAGGAGCGTCTCCTACAATATGACTAAGTGGGCGGCCTGCAAACTCCAGGTCCAGTCCCACTCTGTCACCATCACCTGTGACAAACTTTCGACTATTCAAACGATTGGTGACCTGGGTGCAAATTTGGATGTCTGTCACAGCCAATTTCTCATAACCGGTCAAATTCGGACAGGGGGTTGTGCCACAATGCCCTCGTCATTCAGGCCTATTGACCTCCTACCCATCACAACTTGACCTTTATCATCTCATGCGCTCAGGAGGTTGGGTTGACAGAGATGGTGTTCCCAGAGTTTGGATGCGAACAGGTCTCAGTATGCATCGAGCCCCAGGATTTGGGGCCTTTCCATCTCTCCACGCATGGAGCTACAATGGCACTGTGGACTTGGCGAAGGGTTTTTGAGGTAGATTCACTGCCACAGAGCCACATTCAATTCACAGGTGACCACTGAACGCCAGTGCTATTGTTTCATCAATATAAGGTGCGAGGGTAGTGATTGGCACACAATGAAAGATGTGGCCAATGTGAGTTTGTTTGTTTGTTTGTTCGTTTGTTTTTTCTTTACTTGGCTGCATCGACATGACGTCACAGCATCGATCAATGTAGCGTACCATCCAGTGTGCAAGGGGCACGTCCGGGCCCAACTATGTAACTGAAAAACACACCTCTAATGGCAGCCACGGCTGCCACCGGACCCCTGAAACTCCCCCACAAAAACAAGAGAAAAATGTCTGCAAAACGAAAAACAGAGTAATAGACTATTCCTCGTTCACCTCCTTTGCTCAAATGCGGTCACTCACTGAGCTCAGACAAGCTCCCAATCGGCCGCAATGTTTCCAAACCAGTTTGCACAAATTCGATGTATCAATCCCTTCCAAATTCAGCCACTTCTCACGCAAATCGATCACCCCACAAGAAAATGTTCTCGTTGATAGTGTCCCTCGCATAACACACAATCGACTACCTCGTCATCATGGTGCAGTAGTTCGAAACTGCCAAGGTGACGGTGGCCGGTCATAAAACGTGCCACCCAAACAGGCCACTGTGAGTGTATAGACTTCATGCCCATTAAGGATTGGTTTTTCTCTGCTCCCAACAAAACAAAAGAGGGGCATCATTTGGGAACTGCCAGCAGTATTCTCCACTAAAGCGCCTCTGGTAATGCCTGGCTCGCAGAGGCCGGCTGTACTGCGACGTTATTTCTTTTCACAACAGTGAATTCTCAAAGGTAATGGGCAGTCTGCTCAGCAATCCCGATGGCCGGGACATTATTGTGAAGAGCAGAGGGGCAAGCAGGTCCCAGTTCGGCACCACTGCTTGTGGCAAAATATTCCAATTCAACATGCTAACAACAGGGCTTCATCCTATTTTTTCCCTACTTATCATTGAGGGAAGCGATGCAGAAACCCATCAACAAGATAGGGGAAATGATGGAGTGGTGCTGCAGTGAAAACCACCATTCAAAAGTTGTTTAAGTTTCTACTGTATGCTATGCATAAACGAAATCTCACTTGTGTGACATTAGTGATTTACACAAGGTGGGGGCACACTCCTTTTGCCTGTAAAGGAATGCAGTTTGCTCAAGAGCGCTCTATCATGTCTAACCCAATCCTTCTGTGGCACCCTCCAATTTTCAATGTTGCTAGAGGCAGAGCTGCAGACACACATACCTGTTGTACGTTTGCCAGGGCACATTTTGGCCAATGCAACAATTGTTACAACAATGCTGAACCAGAAATTACTGAATAACTGCGGTGATGCATGTTCGTGACAGCTCATCAAGACACTGCACTGGACATACCTGGACATGACCGCCTGTGCTGCCTCCGATGCCTGAGCTCCAGCGGCGGTGCCGCATGACGAAGCCACCAGACCCAACTTTGCAGCATCCAAGATGATGCCGTCCATGCCCTTGTCAAGCAGGTTTCGAATATCCTTTAGGCTTGACGGAACTACATTTTCGATCTCTGCAACAACAGGGATGGTGCCGCCCCTTTGCTCCGTTTTGCACTTTTGCAATTCGTCCATCTGCAGATGCACATTCAGTGCTTCAGTGCCAGGGTTGCACATCAGCAACTTCAATGCCCAGTGCACATGGGCAGATTGGCATCCAGCCCTTGTTGGTGATGTGAAATGTGCTGATGACTGCATCCATGCCACATCTATCCTGGCCTGTTCTGCCATGCTTTGGGTCAATTTGCAAAATGAAGAACAGGCCTGGACAGCTGGCTGCTCCGCATTCTGCTCCTTTACTCCTGGCAGACTGGGCCACCCAGATTCCCCACAGCAATTGCATGCTTGGTCATGGATATAGGATATTGGACATCATGGATATTAGATATCATGCAAGTTGTCAATTCACCAAAAATTTCCTTTCCTCCAGTGTGGGCACTGCAAAGTGCAGGGTGGCAACCCAGTTGTCCCTGTAGTTGCGCACACCGGTGACCCATCATGCCCATCAACACATTGCCATCAGAGCAAACATCCTCCTTCCTTCCTTGGGTTGAAACTCGAGGCAGCAAACACGTCTTCAGAGATAGAGCCACCGGGGGCGGGCCCGCCGCGCGTCCCTTCCCCGTCGTCCATCCAATCCGATCACCACACTTTTTTACATCCACCTGCTCCGTCTTGCTGGCCAGCACAAGGCCGGCATCTCTGCTGTGAGGACGGGGGTGGCAGCCGGACTCCGAAACGCGGTGCAACACCTCGAAATCAAAACGCCAAACAAATCAAGGTGCCAAACAAAAATCAGACGGTACAAGTCCGGTCGCGCCCCACCTTGGGCACTTCGCCCCCCGCCCTGCCGTACACCACGAAGCTCGCACCGTCTGCGGCCGCCGCCGCCGCCTCCCTCGCCGACGCCGCCGTCCGCCCCACCAGCACTGCGCCGCCCTTGAGCGCCTTGCGCGCCACCGCCAGCGGCACGCCTCGAGGCGTCAGCAGCACCCCGTCGGCGGACACCGCCTGCGCCAGGTCGGGGCGATCCACGATCAGCAGCGTGGCCCGCCCGCGCATGGCGTCCTTCAGCGCCACCGCCGCCCTATAGATCTCCCCCCCGCCCGCCGACGCGCCGCCGTTGTCCGCCGGGCCGTCGTCGCCGAGCACGACGCCCGTGGCGCCGCCGGCGATGGCCGAGCTCACAAGCGCCAGATAATCGTCCCCGGTCTCGTCATTCAAAATCTGGGCCGCCGAGACGCGCAGGTAGAGGGCGGGGAGCCTGACCCTGGCCTGCTGCCCGCCGGCGGGGAAGATGCCGGGCCGCCGGGATGCCCGCGCAGTGACCGGCATTGCCCCGCGTCGAGCGCGCTGGGCGCACGGCCGGATGATGGCGGGCGCCGATCGGCGGGTGGCGCGGCGGAGGGGGGCCAGGCCGAGCGGCAGGGGCGGTGACGGCGGGCAGCGCGCGGCCATGAGCGCGGGCCCGCGCTGCCGGCCGCGCGCGCCGACGCATCCCCAGGTCACCAGCGGGGATCGCGTGGAAGTGCCCGCAGACGATGACGGGCAGCCGCGCGTGGACATCGCGCTCCGGCGCGCGGAGGCCCAGGAGGACGAACGGGGCGGGCAATGGGCAAGCGCAGGTGCCCAGCGGCCAGGCAAGGGCGCTGATCCCGCCCAAGAGAAGGCCGCCGGAGGCCTCTGGAGGCGGCTTCTTGAGCGGGCGCGCCCGGCGCCCTCCCCTCGCTTTGCTCGCTATTCCCGCCGCCCCGCCGTGCGCTGGTTTGCGCTCTCGCGCCCCCCACGACGCAGATGGGTCTCCCCCTCCGGACACAGTGCCCGCTGCGCGATCTTGCCAGCGGCCAACCATCATAAAGTGTTCCCCGCAACCCACGGGCCCTCCACGCCACCCCCCCTCCACCCGCCCCAACAAATACATTTTTTTTGCCAGGCAGCAATCCTTGCAGCAGCAGCGCGAGGACAATTCGAAAGCCACGCCAAAACAATCTCCCATCGCTCTTCTTCCCACAACAAAATGTTTAAAAATTTAGAAAAAATGGAAAAAAACTAAAAAAATGAAAATTAAAAAACTCCCATCGCACCCCCATGGCACAACCACCGCATCAGAGATGGTGGCGAATCCCTGGCCAGTGTCGCCTTCAGGGCGGCCTCCGCAACGGCCACGGCGCTTCTGGCTCCTTGCCACCGGCGCCGCGAGGGCGCCGCCCCTTTTCTCACGGTGGCCCGCCACCATGGTGCGCGCATCCCTGGTCGGCACGCAGCCACCCCGGGCGTGTGGCGCGGACGTCGTCGGCGCTGACGCGCCCAGTCATCTCGACGCGCGGACGGTACGCGTCGAGGTGCGACAAGCGTGCTGCCTCCGCGGAATGCCCGATCCCTGCGTCCGCGATCCTCTGCGGCAGGTGGGTAGGGGTTTCGGGGAAGACAATGGGGACCAAACTTTGGAGCGGCTGTATGAGACTCTGCTTAATGACGGAGTGGATGACGCGGAATGCATCGAGCGCAACTGCGAGCGCCCGGCACGGGGCTCGTGGGCGCTCCCTTAGTTGTTCGCTGCACCAATTTTCTGCTGGGGCGTGCATCGGCTCATTGCGCGGGGCGAGCGTCCTCTGGGCAGATGTGGAGCTTTTGGGCGGAATTCTCGTACACGCGGTTTTCCGGGCGATTGGCCGTTGGGGGTGCACATCTGCCGTCGCCTCGAAACCAGAGGGGAAGCCCCAGTTCATGCCTGGCTGTGGCGCGAGACGCGGGGGTCATGTGGCCTCGTGGGCAGTTCCCCGCCAATTTCTCGCTGTGCGCGGCGCAGGCCAGGCGACGGTGCGCGGCGGCGCCAAGCAGGTGGTTGCCCGCAACGGCGGGTGGTTATAGGCAAACCGCAGATCCGGAGATTTCGGTCACGGAGGGAAGGACGCTCGTGGTGGCCCCAAGATGTACGCTTACGTGCGCCCCCCGAGGAGCAGCCTTTGCTGCCCCGGCTTGAAGGTCAACGGGTCCAGCCAGTACAGTCAATGTTCACCCAGACCTCCACTTGAAAATGTCGCCACTGTCCGGGTTGGAAGCCTCAGGGAGTGAAAGAATGACCCGGCCGGTTGATTCTGGCGAAGGAGAGGCCTGGCGCTCTGGTGCCCCCGGTGAGTGCCCCTGACGCAGCTGACATGACCATGGCGTCGAACTCACGTTTAACGGCATGGTCAAGTCGGAGGCGGACGCTTCGGCTTGCTGCATTGGCTTTGATACATGAATTCCCAATACCACAGAGCCATCAGGTGTCCACCGCGTGATACACGCCCATGCACGCCAACCTCGAGAAAGTTGTGCTGCAGAGACCGACTAGCAACAGTGTCAATGTTGCCATGCATCGTTATACACTAGCACGATTGCAGCATGCAAGTTGTCTGCATTGCATCGCATCGCAACCTGTGGCAGCCACCACCTGTCACAACCCATTTACTGTGTGCAGCCTTGCGCTGACATCCTTGCCACTGCTTGTGCTGCTCTTCATCACATTACATTAAGGTTCAATGCTGAACGGATTCGAGTCTCCATCCTGTGCTTAATAATCTCCAAAATCTTTCGCACCCTGGACCGTCCCCTCAAGTGAAGCCAGAGTCCTCTGACCAAAACCTGAACAGGTGCTCTGAGTGCTAACCACCTGCAGTTCCAGAGCTCCATAGTCTGAATGAAAATGTTCAGTGTCCCAATGTTGCACAGCCCCAGGCCTGCCTTGCTTCCAGACATGGGGGATTGTGTTATCACATGGAGTGCATGTGCACTTTGCTGAATTACAACCCTCTAGCCACAACACCAATTCAGAGAGCAGTAAAGGAGTGCCTGTATTTGACTGATGCATGCCAAGGGTAACACCCAGGTGCTGTTCTTTGTGAGCCTGCAAGCTATTTTGAGGACCGTTGCTGCATGGTTCAGAGGTGCCCACACCCACCACGCAGATGCTGTTGCACAACTGCAGCCTCACATCTTTATTCTTTTGTTAATCGCAGGTGGACCTTGGCAACACTTCAGATTTGACGCATCGAATAATCGACAGGTGCAGTTGCAACGATGTTGTATGAGGGACGGCAACAGGGTTGCTCAGAGGTGGTGGGCATCAGCAGATCTGCAGGTGATAATGTAGTGGGTCACTGAGTGCCATGCATGTTGCAGTATTCAAGATCTGCTCTGGCTACATTTGTGGAAGTGTGAATGCTTTTCCCTGGCACCTATTGAGGCAACGCCAGGTGATGTGCTGCAGTATCTGTGGCTTGAGAGAACGGTGCCAGGAGTGTCTGCAAGCCCCACCCACTGCGCCTCCACATCAGAATGTGCTCATGCTGGCTGTGCTGTTTATTTGTAGGGTTGTTACAGGTATCATCCTTATGATCAATGGAGAATGCAGTAAAACATGGTTGCAGAAGTGAGCAGCATCGAGGGTTGGGGAAAATTGAACGACAGCATGGGCAGGACAAATTCGCCAGCAGTGCTCAATGGACATCAACCGCTCCAAGGGCTGTGTGCTGTGGTGGCAGGGCTTCCTGCAAGGGAACTGCCATTACTGTGGGAAGCACAATGGCCTGAGGCTTGCTGCCAGCTGATCTGCAAGGTGATCGAAGAGTTGATCAGCGGTGCTCATATGTGAGAATTGTACCCTCCACGGGCATGTACGCCATCACTGTGCTTTGTGAAGTACTAAGAATGTTGCTGTTTCTGTGTCCAGTCAGCCAGCTATCCAAGCAGACACAGCGAATCTGTTTGAGTCTTTGCTGATGCCCAGTTGCTGAAGATGGCCGAAGGGTCTGTCGGTCGATGTGCATGGACCATCTGCAGGGTTGTTACTGCTCAGTCACCCAAGGATCTTGCGGTGTCATTGTTGTGACACATTTCCCGATGGGGTGTCGTGTGCTTCAATGTTGCACAGATGGATGGCTGAATTTGTTGTGGTGCTGAGCCCAGCACCAGAGTTCATGAACAATACAAAAGTGTGAACAAAGGGGAGTGCAATTTCGTGAAAGGATATTTGCTGTTTGTAGGAATTTCTCTCTTGATTGCTGGCGACTCCAGCTCTGGTTGTTTTCATCTGTCTCACTTGGTGCCGTTTCTAACAAGACTACGTCATGGCATCTGATGATTGGATGAGGGGTATGGCTGCCTTATGCTAAACGCTTGAATAGTGTGGTGTACACGCCCTGCAGTGCGACAGTTGCACGTATGCCAAGCGCAAAATGTTTCACTTGCACCCCCTCGATGAGTTCGTAGTGGACAAGCTGCAGGCCGCGCCATGGAATCCTGACAATCTCGTGTATATCAATCCTGCATTTATCAGAATATGACAAGTCGATGTCCTTCCATGCACTGAGCAAGCGAGTTGCAGTTCATGCCAACAAGAATTGATACCTGAATTGTTCGTGATGTCAACCGTATACCCCTGTCAGTTGACTAGGCTCCGGTATCCGGATGCCTTTCCTCGGACGGCAGCTGGGGCGTAGCTGTGCTGAGCCAACGACGGTTTCGAAACACAAGGTTGGGAGGCGCAAACTCACCGTTCCGCATCCCTCACCAGGCACGTTGGCGATGGTCATGAGAGCGCATCTGGGCAAGAACACGCCACTTGTGCAGTCACAGGTGCACGGCACGAATGGGACGGACAGCCACACACACAGACAGACAACGGCGTGAACTACCCCTCGATAATGGCTCCACTCGGGCGCACAGCAGCGCTCGGAACTCGCATGTGCGCCCTCTCTGCCCACGTTTGTGCTCCGCGTGCGCCTCTTACTGATGCGGGTTCTTGTTTTCTTCCCTGTAGGTCCCGCACAGAGTGCGTGTACAGGACGCCCCAACGATTTGAGCACTTGTGACGGGGCCCTGAGTACCCAAGCCATATCCTTCCGGTGTACTGCGCACCAAGACGTGTCCTTCCCGGCCCAAGACCATGTCGTTCCCGTGTACCGGCTTCCTCCTTCCCCCAACCTTCAAGCCCTGTGCGAGAGCCAACTATAAGACCACTCCGTCGAAGGCACGGCAGCTAACTTATTCACAAGCAGCCGCAGTGCCACCCACAGCCACGCCTCCCGGCGGTTGCTGGCCAACCCTGTGATGATCCGACCCTGACGCACCATGCCGGACGATTTGTTTCAACTGACCATCCGCAGCAAGGCCCACACGGACAAGACCTTCACGGTCCGCAAGACAAACACCATCTACGATATCAAATGGAAGTTCCAAAACCCGACAGGTGCGTGTCTCCCTCCCCCCAGGCCCGATGCTGGGCCCTTTCTTCGGGCCCCCGCTGCCTGCGCGTGGCCGTCGGGAGCGGGTGTGCCCGAGGGTGACGATTTTCGCGGCCATCACGGACACAGTCGATGGTCCGCGTCTCATCCCTGTCCCCATGGGACGATTGCCGCCTGGGGCGGTCCCCCACACATGCACTCCCACTGGGCGATTCCCGACTTGAGCACCCGGCCCGAGGCCCAAAAGCTGTCGACGTGTTTGAAAGGACGCGTGTCGAACACGACCGGCCGCAGCCCCCTCCTCGGCAACCCCGCAAGCGCCGATTCCGCCTTCGCGCCGCCTTCCTCCCCGCACGCAGATCCTAAACGGCCCCTCTCCGCCCCAATCCGCCTCGCCGATCAATTTCTTGCCCGTTGTCGACCCGGCGCCACGGGGGCCCCGTTTTCGCCTTGGCGTTGGTCGCGGCCCTCCGTCATTGTTTGACTCGTGGGCGGCCTGCAGGCGTGAAGACCTGGGACCAGCGGCTGTACTACACGCCCCCCGGCACCCACGCGCGGCGCATCCCGCTGGGCATCGGCGGCTGGCGCGTGGACGTCGGCGATCGAACCACCAAGGGCGACCCGCCGGGGCCCGGCGCCAATTGGGTGGGGATAATCGGCGCGAGGCCGAAGCCGCCGGCCAACGGGATGCCCACGCACCACGCGGACGCGATCCAGTTCGCCGCGTCCCCCATGGATAACATCTTCGAGCTGATGGACCAGCATGGCTATATGCCGCCCAAGTGGCTGAGGCGCACCGTGGAGCCCGGCTGGGAGGGCGTGGATCTCCCGGCGTGCCTCAAAGTCACGCCGGTGGTGGCAAAGACGAAGAAGGTGAAGGTGCTGCCCGCGGGCGCCGCGGCGACCTGTGACGTGGACGGGGGCGATTTAGGGCTGCCCGTGGACGGCGCCACATTCGTGGAGTTCTACAACGACGTCGTGGACGCGATCAAGGGGGTGGAGCGGGAGGAAAAGATGACCAAGACGAGGCTCGCGGGCAGGGCGGGGGACAGAATTGAGTTCCCTTGCGGTTTGGTGGTGGACTTCAGGGTGGCGAGGCGCATGGAGGGCGAGGAGGAGCTTCTGGGCTCCCACGGCCGGTTTGCCATGCTGAGGGTGGAGGACTTTGAGGGGAGGGTGCCCAGGGCGTGGAAGCGACGTGGGGGGATGTTCTTCGGGATGCGCCGAAGGGAGAGGATGTGGGTGGGCCTGGAGGCCGAGGCTGAGAGGCCAGTGGCGGTCAAGGTGAGGGAACGAGGGGCGCTTGGGCGCTTTGGTACCTCGGCTTGTGCCAGGAGACTGTGTGTGTCAGGAGGTGTTGCAGCCCGGGGAAAGCATGGCATGCACAAGAGAGCACCCCCGTCCTGGGAGCAAAAGTAAACTGGGATGGATTCCACTTTGCAGTGCTGTAGGTCAACCGATGGCAACTTTAACGGTGTTGAGAAACAGGCAGTCGTGGCAGTTCTGAGAACTTTTAGATTCTGTTACACGCATGCAGCAGGCTTTCCAGCAATCCACGCAGTGTTTGCCCATGGTTTTTTCTGTGTGTGGGAGAACGGGTAAAGAATACACTGTGTGGCAGCCCGGCAGCACAGTGTTCCGCTGGTTGTCTATTTTGAAAATCATAGTCCTCACATGTGCCCCAGAACAGCATTGTGTCTGTGGTGGCAGCGTGGCTTCATTTCATAACTGTGTGTCCCTGTAACCTGCAAACAGCTGGTCTATTTGAATCCAGTGACAACAGGCCATGCAGAAGTGGTCAATGCATGGAAGTTTAGATCCGTGGTCTTGATGGCAGTGCTATGATGGCACTATGTGGTTGGATATTGCTCCGATTGCACACAGAGAACTCCATGTGATCTGTTCAACATGGCAGACACACTCCCAAACGCTGAGGTTGACAATTCTGACAGCTGCGGTCTTTTGGCCTCCATGACAGCCACCGGCATGTTTGGCAGGTGGCCGTCGGAGGTGTCAACGTAATAACAGGGCAGCCCTGGGAGGAGGGTCTGAGCAACAAACCCCAGAATTACATCGTCTGCGATCCACGCGGCTACATCGATGGGTTTGCGGTGGGCGAGGGTGGCATCCGCCAATTCAAGGCCATGGAAACCATGAAGAAGTACAGCCAGAATGGCGAGCTCTTGAAGAATATCGGCAGCGCAGCGATCCGGCTGGAGGCGTATCCAGTGATGCGCACTGACGTACTGGTATCCAGAGATCACCTGAGGCCCTTCGAGAGCCCCATCAACGAGACCCAAACCCCTGCTGAGGCTGGCCTGACCCCAGGGGACGTGTTCTACATGACGTCCCACGAGTTTGGAATGCGCCCATCTACCCTTGTGGACTTTGTGGACACTGACACCTGTGACTATCTGCTCTTGGAGGACGCCAGCCAGATGGAGCGCTACATGCGCCTGGCGGACTATGGGATAGACAGGGATTGTGTCATCGAGTTAATTAATAAGCAGGGGCACTGCAGGAACGAGTCCAAGGTGGACTGTGACAGACCACGAACGATGAAGCGTGTGCAGCAGCGGTTCAGGGACCGTGTGGGACGGGCGTTTTGGGACACCCGACACCCAGAGTGCGCCTTTGTGTCCATGCTGAACACGATGCAATACAAGGCGATTGCCGGCCGGGAACCACCCCCGACGCGCCTGGTTGGGCCGATGCATAATGGGAGGCCTCATTTTGACGGACTTGACGAAGTTGTGTTGCCGGACGCCCAGGTAGCTCAGTTTCTGCCAGAGCTGGAGGGGGATGCGATGTTGGAATGTGTGGCAGACGTTAAGGAGGAGGACCGGCCGTTGCTTGAGAGGAATCTGTGCAATCAGTGTGTGGTACATGCGTGCTGCAACGACCTGTCGCCCTGTCGCCACAAACTGTGTGCTGAGTGCACAGGAGTGCTGGCACAGGCGAACGCAATGTGTAAGATGTGCCACCAGAACGTGGTGGGTGTGAGGAGATGGTCTAGGGCATTCGTAAAGGCGGACGACATCATGCGACGCGAGGCTAGTGCTGTAGTCTGTCTGCACATGAACTGCCCTTGGGAAGTATGTGGGCAGTGAGGTGGAGAGAATGCAGTGTGAGGGAAAACTGGTGGTGTGCAGAGAGCACAGGAGGTGGGCGGGGCAAGAAGAACCCGATTTTATTGTGCAGGATGGCAGTGCATGTGCCACCAGGAGAGCCTGGCCGGTACCCACCTCCCCAGAAAGGAAATCAGAAGCGCATGCACTGCTGTCCCCAGCTGAGGCGACTTAGGCTAGTTGAGCTCGGTTGGGCTGTTTTGGATAGCTGTATCGTGTAGCTTGTGGATTGGCACCATGTACAGTGCATTTATTTTAGATGATTGAGCGATGGCAACAGCATGATCTTGTGACCTTTTTGTGCAGGCTGTCCTGTCACAAGGGCTGCAATGAGAGGCTGGACGCGCCTGTACACGATTTATTCTGTTTGATGGATTGATGAGCCAGTAGGGGGATGCTCGACACCAGTTTGTGTTGGCTGCAGTCGAATGTAAGGAATTTCAGCTCAGCTGAGCTCTCTACTTCCATTTGCTCGTTCCTCAATTTGCTCAGGACCTATCGGTGGTGCACACCTTGAAGACGATGACTGCAGCCTTGTGTCCTACAATGCATTAAGGTCACTGTCACCGAGAGCACTCGCTGGGGCGCACTCTGGTGCAGCACATTGGTTATCAGCGTCTATAAATGGAACATGCCTGATCGCAACTGAATCGTAACTCTCGCATCTTCGAGCAGGGATGAACTTTGCTGGCGGTGGTGAATTGGATCAGCTATTCCTGTCCACTTCTGGGGAGCAAATCTGTTCAGGCGCCTACGCACCTTGATTCTGGTGGTTCAGGCGCCTCCACTCCTTGATCCTGGTGGTTGTCAATGTCCTCATAAGGATATTGGGGCCGGACGTGATGCCGTGTAAATGGATCTGAGACTGCATTTCAACAGCGTGATTAAAACGCAATCTCGGATTCATTACACAGTGGTGCGCTGGGATTTGCTCAGCCGACTTTGTCCGGCAAGGCACTGGCGAGCCTGCCCACATGCCAGAGTCGGGCCAAAACGCACATCGTTGACTCCGGCGAGTGCGGCATGGGACGGGAGTTTTCCTACCAAACTTGAATCTCATACTGAGAATGTCCTTACGCAGGACGATTTTGCGGCGTGCCTGGTCGCGTTGTTGATCATTTGACTCCGTCAATTCTCAAGACCTTGCTGCCAACACGCGGCAGAGTTTTACTGACATGTGTTCTACTGACTTGCGGGGGTGTTGCACAGCGCTCAATGCACATGACATTGGTGTTCTGAACAACGATCTGTACATTTATTTCTTCCATGTCGTCTTATTTGATGCTGACTTCCATCGTCCATTTACTTGTGGGATGCATCTCCTAACAAGGGAAGACACTGTCGATGTTGGTCCGCCCACCGCTCTCAATTAAAGTTAAATGGTATTTCGCGCTCTGTCGCGGGGCATGTTTAATGACGTGACGCGACGCGACGCAACAGACCTGTGATGCGTATACACTCGATCATGGACGCTGGAAGATTGCTAACTTCACGAAATCAAGACAAGGTAGGAAAAAGCTGGGACGGCCTATCACAGCGTGCGCAACAGACCATACGTGCATGTTCTTGGATGCTCACGCCTGCCCCATGTCAGACACAGCGTTTTTTGCGTTTGGCGTTTTCGTTCGTCTGTTTGGCTTTTTCTTGGTCATTTTTTAGTGTTTGGCGTATTTTTGCGGGCTATTACCACTGGGCGCATGTCCACGGGACAGGGCTGCGAACAGGGTGCACCATCCGCTGGCGATCAGGGCTCAGAACGTTGACAGCCACAGACGGTGGGTTTGTGGGACAGATGCTTGACGGTGATTGGCAACCCTTCGGCAACAATCACCTTGTGACTGCCCACGCCTGAATTGATGATGGACAAATGGAACGAGGGGAATGGTGCGCTGGGGAGAAAGGTCGTGAATACAGACGCGAATGAGCATGGTTTGTCACAGGAAGCTTGTGCGCACGGCATAGCATCGAAGATCTTGTACAGCCAGTGGCGGCAATGAACTGCAGTGCAGGTTTTGCGCTTATTTGACCTTCCAGTCGGGTGGCAGTTGCATTGAATAGGTGGGCGTGGCCAGGGGTATAGGACGAGCAGCGCGGGGCCTTCAGCCTGTTCTCAGAGTTTGGAGCGTTTGGCGTGGAGCCGCACCATGACAGCCCAGCCAATCGACGGCAGAACTTTTGAGGTTTTGTCGGTCAGTACTGTGCGCTGATCGCCACCATGTATAGCGCTCGCGATCCAACATGCTAGATGTCTAATTAAGGGTTGACGTCAGAAAGGGTTACAAGCAAAACTCTTGCCGGAGTCTAACCACACTAAACTCAAGCAATGCCTTTACTAGTCCCCTCAAGAAGGTTCATTGGGGTAAAACAAATATCAAACAAGAGCGTTTTTGAGGAAGAAAGGTTGCAATAAACTAAGAATATATGGACAGAAAGCAAAATAGTTGACACCCATTCTCAATAAGAAAATGTGTGCCACGCCAGTGGGAACCGCCCTTGAATACGAAATTGGATTCACCTACACTGTCAATATGCACCGACTGGATGTGCACCTTCCCTGAGGCTGTGAAAGTGGTGCTGTGGTACCACAGTAATTTGAACTTTGCGAACAAGAACTTGAAGTTCTTTTGATACATTGGATCCAAAGGGCTGCCAAGTGGCTGCCACTATCCTTCGGCCCAAATTTTGGAAAACACACCAATGGTTACAATGGGGAATGCACGGAGGGTTGCTCTCCTACTCGTGGTCTCTGCAATGCAACCTCTTACTTAATCTAAGGAACACCCAAAAAGTTTATTGCTCCAAACACACACAAAGCAAGATAGTGTGTACTCTCTTTGACATTGTGGGTCATAGTTTGTGGCCAACACACATATGGTCGAGGCACACAAATAGCCAACAATCAATCTGCGAACTTGATTGCTATTCACATCTGGTGCAATCCACTTTTAGATTATTTGGCAATTGGCAAAACTTGCAAAATCGCAGACCTTCGATTTCCAGTGTTCGAATTCCCATGTTTTAATGTATGGCTTCCAATTCTGAAGTCCCCAATATAGTAAGGGTCCCTATATAATGCGCCCCCATGACATGGCCAAAATGGGGTTTGCTATTGGGGGACGAGGGCGCTATTGTGTTAAGGGGGGTACCCTAAGCAACCGATGTAAAGGGTACCCTTGCTACTTTTGTAGTAAGTACCCTAAGCTACTGGTGTATGTATACCATGGACACCAATATAGGAGGTACCCTAGCTGTCGGTGTAGAGGGTACCGTTGGCCGTTGCTATAGAGGTTACTATGGTTGTGGGTATAAGGGGTACCTTGACCACCTGTGTACATGGTACCTTGGCCGCCAGTGTACGGGGCCCACACTGTGGGCGCTGGGGCCTATTGCAATGAAATAAAGTATTATACAAACAATGACAAGCCATTCAAGGGGTCGCTAAACCGGGGCTCCCCCAAACTAGTTTAAGGTCTTATTGTACAACAAAACTGCATAAAGTACTACAAAAATGGTGAAAAAAAGGAAGCGCTATTGGGGGCCAACTATATAGGGACCCCTATTGTACTGGCTCCCGATCGTTCTGTGAGCCAACCACTTATCAACTAAATTTCCTAACCCATGTCCTCCTACCCACAATTTCTGCATCTCAGCCTCATGTTGCCCGTGGCATGCCTTGCGTATATGCACACAAAATGTCCCACAACATGTGCAATCTTACGCTGTCGAGTGTAACTCAATGGGCAATGCATCGCATTCGGTGCAACTGGTCTGGCTTGACCCCCAAAATGGCCACACTCGCACCCCGCCTGTAAGGCTTACATTAATCTCAACCAAACTTTGGTATTTACATTGGAGGTGCTCGCACAATGGCCCGGTATCGTGGGTGCTTATATAGTCGTTAGCCATGCGCATGTGCAAATGCTCAAGTCGTTGGTGCCCAATGTTGAGCAGCCAGTTGAGGGAGTTCAAGATGCGGCGAGGACTATTGTCTCATGTCCTGTCCCCCGAAATGGGTCCCCAAGGCCCTCTGCCAATATGTTGCATGGTGCAAAATTGCCACAAGCAGGCTGCTGACAAGATACCGGCTGGACAACTGGGCAAAAGCCCATGCACTAAGGCCAGGCATAACAACTGCATGTAGTGTGCGAGTGCCACAATGTAATAGACATGGTAGTGGCGGGCTCAGTGGGTGTTAGAGGCAACACAATAGTCGTAATGCCTATGGAGGGGTGCCTGGCAAGCCATTTCCGCAACCCGTATTGAGATTCAAGGTGGGTAGAAGCCGCCTACTGTTGCGGCCCTATTGGCAGCTGCTAGTTTCCAGAGACATTGGGGTTGCCCTCCCCTGTACCACAGCTGTTGGAGGTTTGGCTGGTCTCTCCACCAGGACAGTGGGCGTATCTGAGGCAGACGCTTCGTTGGCCGTGCGGTGGGCCCAATGCTCGACAGGGATTGATGCCCGGAGCCTGTCGTTGGTGAGAGGTGGCGGCGCAGTGGTGTGGCGGTTTGCTAGCTCGTGAGAGGCTAGAGAGTGGTTCAAAATGGTCACATGGATTTACACAACATGCACTTATCACATGCGTGATGCCCGATTGTGGGTCCACCACGGTTACATCAAAGCAAGGCAACACGAGTGCGCATCCAGGCACATTGCTACTGTCCCCAGTTCACCCACGATCGACCCATTTCTCCCTCGACTTAAGTACTAGCCCCTATTGCTGCAGCGCTCAATGCGCTAGAATCGTGGCAGCCCAGTGCCGACGGTCATCGGCCTCTCGCGGCATCTGGTGGGGAGACGCGGTGGCGTGGATCCCCCTCGCTCCTGGCCCGGGATGCTCGGGCCCGGGTGGTGCTTGGTTGGGACGCACGTTGGTGCGGTCCACGCAGTGGGCCCAAGGACACGGCCCACGGCAGGCGCGGAGGTGGTTGTACAAGGGCAGATGCAGCAAGGGTGGCATATTGCGGGGTACACTTCGCGTGGG